TGAAACCTTTCCAGGTCTGCTGCGCTCACTAGTTCGGCTTCTGCTGACTATGAATAAAGTTTAAGTTGTAAGAGAAAAAAAACGTTCGTGCCTGCAATGTTGTTATTAATTAAATAATGTTTTTATTTTATTTGTTTTTCATTTGTGATTATTAACATTATATGCTGCTGCTGTCAATCAGCAGAGGTGGACCTGAGGTGCTCCTCTGCTGATTGACAGCAGCAGTGGGTGGGTACAAGAGCGAGCCTGCTATTGGCTATTGCAATTTGAAATAACCAATAGCAGCCTAGCTATTCATTCCCCTGCTATTTAGGGTTTTTTTATTCTGACGGTGGCCGACGGCCGCTGTCAAAAATAAAAAAAACACAGAGAAGGTACCTCCCTGAAATAAGGTTTTGCAGGTTGGGATGTCTGCATTTTCTATAATTTTTTGAGACATATGAGAGCTTTCTTTTGGAGGTAATTTTACTTTCTACTACATAAAGGAAAAAAAAGAGACCAGACATAATTTTTGGGGGAAATGAAGAAACGTGCTTATGGTGAGGATGTTAAATGTTACCACAAGAAACTTGGTAATGCACTGGATACAATAAATGTACAGGTCATACACAGAGACAGGAGTGGGTGGAGGGTGTTAATATACAGATTACATACAGTGGGAGGCTGGAGATGAAGATACAGATGTGTAGGATAAAGAAGGCGAAGGGGTTAATATACAAGTCACATCAGAGACAGAATGTAGCTGACATATGCAAGAGAGGATGAGAAGGTGAAAGGGTTAAACATGATCCACAACCTTTATTATTTTCGCTGCCGCCGCTTGTTTTTCTCAGGAACTATAATTCATTAGCTCTTATTCTTATTATTCTTATTATTCCAGGACTTCTCTAGAGTCTCTCCCATCCTCTGGAACTCTTTACCCCAACCTGTCCGTCTATCTCCCACCTTGACTGCCTTTAGGCATTCCCTAAAGACTCATCTCTTCAGGGAAGCCTATCCCACCTCAACCTAACCACTGAACCTTCACACTCTCACATAATTCATTCCCACAGCTACCTCATGTATCATTTCCTCCTCCTCTTTTAGATTGTAAGCCCTCAGGGGCAGGGCCCTCCTTACCATCTTGTCTTGAATTGTATTGTAACTATGTCTTCCTTACATTGTAAAGCGCTGCGCAAACTGTTGGCGCTATATAAATACTATGTAATAATAATAATAATTCTCTCCCCTTCCTCTGTTGTAAGAGAAAGGGGAGGTCTTAATAATGTGCACATTATCATGTGCTCAATAAGCTGACAGATCACACCAATTTCAGAACACAGAGCTGCTCTGATCAGATCTGTGCCTGTAGCTAACGCTCTCCACTGTCTAAAGACAGTGGCAACAGCAGCTTGTGCATGTGCTGTGAATGCATACAAGTGTAGATGGGAGGATGTACATGTATTTACAGTTGGACTAACTGTGGCACCCACTTGCCATTTTATTTACATTTACTGCTTTATAAATATGCCCCATTGTCTCAAGTAATAGAACAATATAACACAACATTCTTTCTGTATACTCCCATGTTGAATAAAACCTAAGCTAGGCAGGAATTTTTTAATTGCTCAATACCCTGAGGTTAACCTTGGCAGTCACCTTATTTGCTCCAGACTGATTTCAGTGTACTGTTGAAACATTTAAGGACTTATTTTTACATTGCTGAGTGATTTTGAATCTCCTTTTACATTTTGGCCTAATTCTAATCTATAAGTGTGGATTACTTTAGAAAAAGTCAGCAGAATTGCTGGTTACTGAGCAGTGGAAGTCTGCATTTAAATAGTAACAGTGAATTTCGCAGCTCCCTTTTCTGTTCTTTAACCACTTCAAGACCAGGTGTTTAGACCCCCTTCCTGGCCAGGCCATTTTTCAGTGTTCAGCGCTGCAGTCCTTTGACTGACGTTTATTCCGTCATGCAACGCTGTACTGAAATGAATTTTATACCATTTTTTGGGGACAGATAGGGATACCATCTGTTTATTCACTTCAAATGTTTGATAATATTTTTATTCTAGACATTTTTTCTTTTTTAAGTTAGCAAATAGATACACTGTAGTTTTGGCTTTAATTCTGCAAAGAGCAGGAGTTCCTGAAAAAACCAAACCTGCCTTTCCAGAAGATTCATTTTTCAGAAACACCAGCCCGATGATGATGAGGCTCAGAGGCCAAAACAGTACTGGCAGTTAGCTGCTGCTGTGATTAAATACTCAGTGATTGTGGGATTTACTTGAAGCTAAACTCCAAACTCCACAGCACAGTTGGGCACATAGCACTACGTTCTCTATTACAATTAAGTAATATACCATTGACATGACCCTGTCCCCAGGTAATTAGACAGTGGAGAAGCAACACCAGACTGATGAGGTAATCTCTCTGGTTGATCTCTGCTCTTATCAGCATTTCCTTGCTGGCACATTTGCATATAGCACATTGGGTTGGCTTTCAGTCCTGTCCCTCCTATCCCCAGTCTGAATAATGCTGTGTAATAGATTGCAAGAGGCTGATACACTCAAATTCCGGTACTTACAATAGCTGCAAGAAAATAGATTTAAAAGAGAACTGTGGAGCAAGTGCTTTTCCCCATAGTTCTCTTTAGGGTCACGGGAGGACATATACTAACGTCCTCCCGCGACCCAAAGCTCAGTATATAGCGAGCTATTTCCCACAATATACTGAGAGCACCACAGCCGAGACGGATCCCAACAACACTGTCGTGATCCACCCAGCTGTGTGAGTGGCAGCTGGCTTTGCCTAGCTAGAGGCAGAGCCAGCTGTGCCAGCCCCCTCCCCCATTTGTTCCTCCACTCAGTGCTGGAGGATCAGAGGGGTGGAATCAATGCGGAGAGCGGTGACTGACAGTCACCGCTCACTGCAGGGAGATGATCGGGAAGTGAGCAGATCGGATGCATATTTCTGATCACTTCCCGACGATCAATAGAGCCATTCTGTGATAGCTTCTTTGTCACAAGTCAGCTCTAACTATGATGATGAGTGGTAATCCTCCTTCAATGAATTATTCATGATTACAGAGCTGAGATTTACACAGAGCTGATGTATTAATGATTACAGAGCTGAGATTTTCACACCTTTGCCACACAGCATAGTTGTGCTGATGTAACTACTATCTCTCCTGCAATTAAGCAATATACTGCTGACACCACCCTTCCCCAGCTTGTTGACTGGACAGTAAGGCTGATGATGTCCTCCCTTTGCTCAGTCAACTCTCTGCACCTCTAAGCATGTTCCTTGTGAGCACATTTGCATGAGATTGGCTCTCAGTCCTGCCCTTTCCACTGCTGTATAATGGATTGCATAACGTTGAGATAAAGTCAACCTCTGGTACTTATACTAGCTGCTAAAAAATACAAAAGCCATTGTTTTCTCTATAAAAGAAAAAAAAAATACATTCAATGATTTATATAATGGAAGCTTAAAGGGAATGCATATTCTATGATGTAAATAATGATATCACTATGTTGATGTTTATTATTAACTTTATTTTTATGTATGGTTTTTAATTATATATTAGGCAGCTATATTTTCCATATTTGCTCATCACATACTTTGCTCTGTTTCCTGCTTTGCAGTAATCCCCAGTGGTTGAGAGCTCAGTAGAAAGATACACAGTTCCTCCACGGCTGCAGGGGGAAAAACATACACTGGTGCCCGTCGGCTGGAGCACGTCCACACTCCAGCAGTAACTGTTATCTGAATGAAAGAAAAGTATCTCTGTATCTCACTTTCTGATATTGTATTGTAGTTAGTAAAGATCACACAGCAGCAATAGCCCCACCTCAGGTCTGCCCACACTGACACGTTTCACCCAATCTGGGCTTAGTTGTAGAGATGGGACCTGGGGTAGGCCTCACATATACCAATAGGTTCAGATACTCTTCATTAAACTGTTACAGAGTAGAACCAATATCAGGTAACCAATAGCAACTCAACATTTATTTTTTATTGATTTTAATAAACTGGTAGCTGGCTAATTACCATGGATTATTGCATGATACAAATCGATATTTTTTGTTTATTGCTGTTCATTTTACACCTGAAGAAAAGAAAGACTGGATTTTCCACCATTATGGATCATTAACACAGATGATTTAGATCATTTGGCCACCAAAAGATTCCCTTTGACGAGTATGTAACCACACATCCAAATTGTTACATGCAAGTAGGGACAGATGAGCAGCCCTTGACGCAGACAGATTGCATCCAGGTAACGATCAGAAAATGATGAGCACTCACAGGATTCAAAGCATTAGTTCTTGTTCCTTTTTTATTGTTATTGAACATATGCCACATGCGTCATTAAAGCCAACATTACGGGGCCACACATGGTCCCGTCTTCAGGGCAACATAGTGACATGTATACAGCAAAACATGCACACATACAAATGTCACTATGTCGCCCTGAAGAAGAGACCCTGAATGAACCCAAAATGTTGGCTTTAATGACGCATGTGACATATGTTCAATAACAATAAAAAAAGGAACACAAATTCATGCTTTGAGTCCTGTAAGTGCTGGTGATTTTCTGATCGGTACTTTGAAGACACATGGCGCCATCAGTGTCATCACTGCGAGCACCATGATGAATAATTTAATGGTTATAGCACCGTATGGAGCAGCATCTATCAACCTATCATTGCTGTATACAGGCTGCTCTCCATGGCTGTTCACATAGACCTGTGCAGTCCACCACAGTGAACTGCTGATTCATTGTGACATATGGCCCAATTCGGAGTGAGAACAAAAAGTGACAATAAACTCTAGTTTCTATTAGGTGTAAACCAATAAGACTGGTTCAATTTTTCAAAGCAGTTTTAAAATATGTAATAGTTTAGCTGTATATGTTTGGTATGTGCAGGCTTTTTTGTCATTATATTTACTATAGAAATAATAAATTGAATTCAATTTGTCAAAAATAATTAACTGAAATAGTCATCTTTTTATAGAATCGAATAGCCAAAAGAAGCCGAAAACTGGTTGATTATGACAGTGCAAGACATCACTTGGAATCATTACAGAACTCCAAGAGAAGAGATGATGGTAGAATTACTAAGGTAAGCAAAAAAGTATATTTAGTCAGTAAAGCTCCACAGTAAAGGTAAACAATTTTTATTTGACATTAACATAATGTTACCAAGTTTTCAAAATGAAATCCTAGGACGCCATACTGACCACACCTACTTTTAACCACACTACCAAAACACAAACAGGGTTATTCACAAACGGGTGAAGAGTTTGGAGAAGGCAGGAGAAGTGAGCAACCCAGGTCAAAATAGCTAATTTGGAAAAAGTCTCCAATTTGGCTCACTTTCCAGTTCAGCTATGTTGTCCTAGATTGTTCCCTACTCCTGCCTTCTCCAAACTCTACAACCTTTTGTAAATAGCCCTGAAAGTGTAACCAAGCCACATCCTTCGTTTTTAACATGTCCTCAAACAATTGGTCACAGACTTTTAGAACAAGAGGCAATTAAGATATAAAGACAAAATAAACATTTAAAATAAGTAAAATGCTGCACACTGAACACCTGTTGGCATAGCTAATAAAGTGTCACTTCACAGTGAATGGGTTTTAGTGTGGGAGTACACGGTACAAGCCAAACACATGAAATGCCCTAATAAAAAGTAAGGAAAGTTTTAAAAAAATTATAAAATATAATAATACAAAGAGTTCAGAGGTCGTAGTATATAAGGCAGTGTTCAGAGATCAGTAGTATGTAACGCAGATTTCAGGAGACAGTAAGTAACTCAGAACTCAGGGGACAGTAGTAAGTAATGCAGAGTTCAGAGCTTAGTAGTTAGTAATACAGAGTTCAGGGGACAATATTAAGTAACACAGAGTGCAGGGGCAGTAGTAAGCAATGCAGAGTTTAGGGGTCAGTAGCAAAGCAGGGTTCAGGGGACAGTAGTAAGTAACGCAGAGTTTAGGGGATAGTAGTAATGCAAAGTTCAGGGGATAGTATTAATGCAGAGTTCAGGGGACTGGAGTAAGTAATATAGAGTACAGGGGGCAGTAGTAAGCAACACAGAGTGCAGGGGACAGTAGTAAGCAACACAGAGTGCAGGGGACAGTAGTAAGTAATGCAGAGTTCAGGGAGCAGTAGTAAGTAATGCAGAGGTCAGGGGACAGGAGTAAGTAACACAGAGTACAAGGGACAGTAGTAAAGCCGAGTTCAGAGGACAGGAGTAAGTAATGCAGAGTATAAGAGAAGGAGTAAGTATCGCAGAGTTCAGGGGTCAGAGTATAATTAGAGCTGCCCATAATATTGCTGTGACAATAGCATGTATTTATAATGTACATCCCACAATGCGTTATGCAGATCCAGCACAAACACCAGTGAAGAACACGGTGCAGGCATATGAACAAATAAAGCACTCCCCAGGCAGCACAACACTCGTAGTAGGCATTCACGCAGATGGTGTGTGCCCCCTGTACTTGCAGCCACTCATTGTGCATTCACAGTTTGGGGCTGTAGGAATTGGCTGATTGTTTGATGGCAATCAGCAGCTTGGTATCATCCTCATAGAGCATAGGAGGAACATTGTCCAGACAACCCCAAGCCAACACTAATCACAGGTCCTGCCACTTGGGGGCACAGGAGGGAGGTGCTCACCCCTTTCTCTGAGTTCTAGAGGCAGCCATTACAGCATAGAGCACTTACCAAAGACCAAAGATGGCTGAGTCCTGCCAGTTTGTGTCCCTATGAATAGACACTTCTGAAGAAGTGCCTAGCAACATGCCACTTGTTGGAAAAAACTGGCAGGGTTCTACAAGGCCCCCCGCCCCGGCAGTACTTATCTGCTCCTTGCTTCCTATTTTGCCGGTTAAAGAATGGGTGTTATTATACATTTATACATAAGGTCAACAAGCGGAAAGTGATGCATTTTTTTTCATTCATCTAACATGTACCGCTTTCGAAAACATTGGTATGAAAGGCATTAATACACATAGGAGCTTATTTATTTAAGGGCTTATTTTAACAGTAACTTTGCTGCATTGCAAATATGCAATCAGACTCAGGGGAAATTTATATTCTCTGAAATTTCTTTGAACTAAATTGGGTATTTGAAGTGAATAGGCTAGCGTGTTCGATAAACAAATAAATAAATTAAGTCTGCATTATTCTTATCCACAATTAGGGCTGAGCTTCGAGCCTTTGACCAGCAAACGGCTTGTTCACCCACCTAAATCCCTGCTGCTAAAATGTAAACAAAGCAGCCACCAGGTATCCTGTCAATTAGCAGTGGCAGTGCAACATTTTCATGTAGCCTATTGTCATCGTGGCAGGCCATTGTTTATGCTGGATATACTCTACATCGCTGGATGATGTGATTGATGATGGATTTATATTGGGGGGCATTGTTTGCAGTTTTTTTTCAATAAAGGATTTTGTCGTGGTGTGTGTGTGTATTTATTTACAGTTCACGTTTTTGCAGTAAAATGCTGTAAACAATATCAAGAATATGGCTCCTATAGATTGCAATAGGGTTCAGTGATATCTTTAAGGTTATCAGCCTTTCCGCTGGATTTGCCAAAGTAACTTTACCTGGGTTGCTCATCCCTACCCAGGACCAACAAAGCAGTCATACCTAGAAAAAGATGTTTAACCGCAATGTGATTACAACAGTGACAGTACAACAAAGTACAATAAACTTCTACCCCTATACAACAGTTTATTTAAAAAATAAACAAAATAAGTGCAGAAAATATAATATACATATTAAAGTGGTCATTTAATAAAAAGGCCCATTTGTCCATTTGATACATTATTCCGATCTACACATTCTGATTCCAATGTTCTATCCAGATTAGTGTGGAGCAGTCAGCCACGTGGACACTTCTACACTTAGGGAATGTAACTTACCAGAAATTTTGCCTTCTCATATTAAAAATGTCAGATATGGCCTTGTTTATTATCATTCTACATCCTTCTTATCCTTTAGGGATTATTCAGAACCTTAGTCACAGTTTGTCATATCACTATAAATACACAGTCAATGTAGCCATAATAAAAATAATACAAACCAAGACTGTGTGGTAACTTTACTGTTAAATAGACATGTGCCATTCATTTCGGAAAGATTCATTATTTGAACAAATTTTCTGAAATTCGTACATTCGGATGCAAAGAAATAATGAATGAAAACAAATACAAATTTCTGATAACTAAAATTTCAGATGCACCTGAGTTTCTTTCCCAAATGAAGTTTTACTGTGTTAAGCATGAACTTAAAAAAAATTCCAGATTTGTGTTAGTGGTAGTATGTTCGAATTTTTGTTATGAACAAATGTTGGTCCATAACGAACATTCGTACATTTGTACATACTACTGCTAATGAAAATTTGGATTTCGTCTGAATCCCGAAACAAATTGACTTTTAGAAAAATGAAATCATAAAAAATCTGAATGAAAATGGAACAAAATAAAACAAATTTTTAGCCAACACACATGTCTACTGTTAAGGCATAAAAACACACTCCCATTAGAGTATGCTATGCTAGATTAAAAAAATTATCTGGCCATTGAATCTTTGTCGGCATTAGGGTAATAATGTTTTGTGAAAAGCAGCAGCATAAAAGTGTTTTTGTTGGCGATTCTTCCACATTATTCTGGAGGTGTCTTTTGGAACCACAACGTTTGGATGGGATTACTTTGTGAAACGGACAATTTTTATCATTTAAATCATATTTATATATTTTGGGCACTGTTTAATCGTTAGTTAGAATGTATTGCTTCTAGGAGATTGCTGTAGTTTTAGCACTGCTAGTGTAGAGGTTACCTCTTTAATAAATTAGTACACAAATCTGTTGAATTCATTGCATGCTTTTTCATGTGTTTTCTTTGGCTGCGGTGGAAGCAGGAGGGGAGAGGGAGCACTGACAAGGTGAGTATATTTGTGTCTAATAGGGAGAAATAAAAATTTTGTTTTTTAAGAATCTGAGAAGTCTTTTTATGGGTCCTGGAGCCCAGAGGCGTTGTAGAGCTTTGGGTGGGACAAAGCCTCCATTCTTATGTCCATGTCTTACCTGATAGCTAGACCTTAATTAGTCTCATTCATTTGGTATTTTTGTATGTGAGATGGCTGATGCTTAGAGCTCTTTCTCTCTCGCGCGCGCACTTTTTGCTGTGGGGGCCTGCTGCTTGGTGAAAAGGCTGACTGCTGACACAACACTAAAAGTGTGCAAGAGTTGTCTGTTTGTTTTGGCGAACTTATTAGGGGCACCCTATTAGTTAGGAAATGTAGTTAATGGTTCAGACTAATGGATGTTTTGTTTGTTTTATGATAGGGACTTGCTGAACAAAACCCTTCTGCATTGAAACTAGGTTTTTTTGCTGTCTTGCTGAATAAAAGTGCAAGACAAGCCTGCATAGACTGTTCCTGTGTTTCCTGTTGTACAAAGTGCTGGTTTCTGGCTCTCACAGGGGGGACATTCATTAGTGTATCCTCGAGACAGGGCACCATACTGGGGAATGTTAGGATACAGATTGGGAGTGGGAAGGGGTTAAAGGAGATATTAACACTTTGCCAAACACTATATTTGTAGTACAACTTTAGCAGTAAGAGTGTCATGTTGTGTTACCTATTAATCAATGAAGAAAGTTTGAAGGTTAAGTAATAACCTTTATTGGCTAACCTAATTTTTTGAAGAAGCGCACAATACCAGACAAATAAACCTTATATGTTTTGAAATCTTCCATTTTGCAAAATTTTAATTATTCAATAAAGGGTATCAGTTAAATTTCAACCTTTTAATAATTGTACTACAACCTATTTCTATGAAAATGACTGCCATCTGTCAATTTCAATGATTTCATTTCAATGATATGTGGTCACAGTTCATCTTTAGCACACAATAACCACATAGATCTTAAGTATCAGTCATTTTTTTGTTTTGTTTTTTTTAAATCATATACATTATCAAAATAAAATGGTATTTTCTCAATCGAACAGGAAGTTGTAATGACACATATAATCACATATGGCTGTTTAAAAAGTCACTCATTTTGGATGACTGCTATATCTGAGTTATCCCCATATGAATGTCAGTTTTCTATGAAGTAAAAGTAGATCAATGTGTATGGTATCATCAATGCCTGGAACTGTAGCTTCGGCTGATCCTTCGGCTCTCTTCGACTGCCGGAGCCCTTTGGTTCAGTGACAGTCGAAGCGGGCAAATGGTCTGCTGAAGGCCGGCCTTTCACCCTGCAAATGAAAGCTGGGTGGAGCTATGCCCAGTTATAATGACAGAACAGCATCCCCAACTGACCTGGGGACGCTGAACTGTCATCAAAAGTATAAAGTATATTATCCAAATGCATTTTCCAAATGCTTTTTCTGCCGGCATAAATTAATATGTAGTCAGACAGTTCTGGGACCCTGGTGCTTTCGAGTCCCGTAGTAGTTGCATAGTCTGCTACAATTATAATTAACATCAAAGTCACTTATGGGGATGTCTATACAAATATTTGCATGTCATCAGTGATAGTCCATTATCCATTGTTTATGAATTCATAATAAGCATTGATTTTATATAATGATATTATGTTTTATATAACTTTACAATGCTTGTGGCTACATCTTAAATAAATCAAATATAGCTGCTTTTGGCTCTTTTTTTATTTAAGAGATTTCATTAAACAGTGTAGTCTGGTATGAGCTGCTGTGTTTTGGCACATGATGATTTATGACACAAATTTCAATAGGAAGTGATTCGCCTGAGGCATGACTAAGCCATGTGACAATGTAAGAATAGGCACCAGTTAAACAGGCTTTCAAAGACACAAATATATATCTATTACCCATACAAGTAAAGGTTATTTATTTAAAACTGAACATCTCATACATACTTCAGAATTATGTTTAAAATGTAGAGCTAAAGACAGGATAGACATTGTTATGTGGGTCATCCTGTTGTTTACAAGGAAGCTGTATGTGATGTGAGGAGAACCACTTCATGTATCCCTATGTAAGGTGGGATAACTATGGGCTCAAAAGCAAGCAGAGGAATTAATACTAATACCAGATGGTCTAATTATTTCCCACTCTACCCAAAACTTAGAAAAAAAAAAGTTTTTGTTAATATATACTTTAAATAAGACTGTAGTGAGAATTGTTATGGTATGTTGTTATCCCTTAGTGTGTTTGCATCTACATTAAAGCCAATCTTAAAGTACATTAAAAAAGTCTAAAGTTAATAGTCCCTGGATCCCAGTGCAAAAAGGGGTTATCTTTATTTGTGAAAATTGCAGGATGGAGTGTTGGTGGGTGCTCTAACTTTATAAGTGTGGCTTGCAGAGTAATCAGCCAAGGATGTACCATGTGCAATTAAAACATTTATTTGGCTGACTTTGTGTGTAATTGTACATTCATATTTATTTTAGGCAGAAGAGGAGTTTCAAAAGGCACAAAAAGTATTTGAAGATTTCAATACAGACTTACAAGAGGAGTTACCTTCACTATGGTCCAGGTACTGGGCAATATTATTGGAATAAATGTATGCAGATAAGGTAATATGTCGTACGATATCATAATATGTGATCACATGATTACATTGTTTACTGTGAAAAGAGGTGAAATTTTCGAACTCCTGAATGTCATTTCTATGCCAGCTACATCTATTTTAGCGTTTCATTATTTCCAGTTTCCAACAAAGCTATATATGCCAACACAGAAACTCAAGAAACCTTCCTGAGATATGTACTTAGTCATCAAGTGATTATACATGTTAAATTGTTGCTTGTTCAAAGACTGTAATGAATGAAGGTTATAATATTGCCACAGGTGGCTTGCCTATGCCAGCTGCCAGGGAGGCATATTTCATTAGGCTGATACCGCAACACACTAAAAAGAAAAAACTATAGTGAAAAATGCAGAGACATTGGGGCATAGTTAATGGATTTGCTGGTTCCTACATTAAAACATTCACATGTTAGCATATACTGTATTTGTAAAGTACATGTGCCCCCACATTTACTATTTAGAAAACACATTTCCAACATTTGTGCTTCAAGGGAAAAATGATAGCTGCTGTAAGGTTCACCCTCTTTATAATAGTAAGAATGTTATATTTCCTGTGCCTTCTCTGAACATGCAGAGATAGTAAATAATTGCATATTTTAATAAAAATGCAGAATGTTGGATCTAGGGTTATATCATGTATTGTCTAACTAAATAGATTATATTATAGGCATAATAAAAATGCAATAATTACCCGTGGAGGGTGCTGATCCTGTGTTCTTATATAGGTAATTCATTTATTTTACTTTTTACCTTTGGTGAAAAGAAAAGACATTCTCTAAAGAAATGCTCATAAGGCCCCTGGCTAAGTAATTCTGGGAATGACATAGCCAGAACCCAATACCTTTCTTCCCTCCCTTCCCCTCCCTATGTTTTCTTTTTTGTCACCCTTCATAGCCCTCCCTTTATCTAACCTTCATCCCCATCTTATCTACTCCAAGAATTCTACACAGGGTCTCCGTTCAATATACACTCTACCACCTAAACACTTAAATACCATATACCACCCTATAACACTGGTATATAGACCACAACCAGACTTACATTATCTTTGCACCATCTCTTACAAGCTACACATTGATTTTAATTACTGACTTGGGGTCCTGTAATGGCCGCCAAGTGGCCACCCTTATGTACTACAACCAAAATGTGTGACATTAAAATGCTTCGGTGTAACTTGGATATGTCTGTATACCATGCATTATTTTCAATAAAAGCTATTTGGTAAAAAAATAGCTGAAGGTAAGTGAAGAGCTCTTAGCAGCTTGGGGCGCTCTCGCCGGAAAGGGGGCAGCAGGCACACCACCCCACTTGACCCAATGAGATGCCACCTGAGGCAACCATTGGCCCTGGGTAGATCACATTTCTGTTTACTGAAATCAGGTGACTGCTGGCTTCACAATGTTGTGTATGTGCATTGCTGTGCTGTGGTGCTATTTATTGTAAATGACACCCCAACACACCTGAATTACAGCACACCTCAATACACAGGGGTCTATTCACAAAGCAGCCAAAGGATCTAGCTGCAGCTACGGCTAGCTTTGGCCCCAGGACCCCTTCGGTTCAGTAGAACCGAAGGGCTGCTGTACAGGCTATTCACTATAGTCCGTACAGTTTCCGAAGTTGGCCGGGCGGCTCAGTCGAGCCGAAGGCATATGCTTCAGCTTCTAACAGCTTGGCGGAGCCAGCCGTGATGTTACGGCCGGCTGGCTCCGGCCACTTGCAGAGAGATTAGCGTCCCTGGTTACCAGCTAACCGGGGACACTGATCTCCAGACAGCCTAACTCTCCCGGGTGCTCCGGGAGTCTCCCGCTCCCGGCCGCACCAGAGAGAAACACTGCTTTTTCTTTTTTATTGTGACACGGAGCCGTTGGCTGGCGTCAGAATAAAAAAAAAATTTCACCATAGGAATGCCTTGCTAGATTCCTATTGGCTATTTAAATTTGCAATAGCCAATAGCAAACTAGCCATAGCACCCGCCCACTGCTGCAGTTCTCCATCAGGTCCCCACTAGTGATTAACAGCAGCAGAGGGCGGGTGCAATATCTAGTTTGCTATTGGCTATTGCAAATTGAAATAGCCAATAGGAATCTAGCAATGCATTCCTATGGCGAAAATTTTTTTTTTTCTCTTTTTTTTATGGCAGCAGACCTGCCGGCCAATAGAAACAAGTTGGGCGGCATCTATAAGAATAGCCTGAAAAGCAGTGAGTAGCCTGCTGGAGGTTCGGCTTAGCCGATCCAGATGTTGGATCGGCTGAGTCGAACTCCTTCTGCACTTCGGGTCGGCCGAACATGCTGAGCATGTTCGGCCAACCCGAAGCCACCTGATGTACGGCTGATTTCAGCCGATATACCGGTGAAATCAGCCGTACCAGCCTGAAGTGAATAGCTGAACAGCGTTCGGCTCACTTCGCTTCAGGTGTAGACCCCACAGTGTCGAGATGTGCCTTCTCCCCACTGCAAAGATGCGCTCTTCCTAACAATAAATACACAACATATATAAGTTATGCTAAATATGATTAATATTATATACAATATGACTGACTCACAAAATATGCAGTAACCTCCTTTTTTTCTTTTATGCCCATTAATAACCAGGCGAATTGGTTTCTATGTGAACACTTTCCAAAACATATCTGGACTGGAGTCAAAGTTTCACAAGGAAATCACAGGGGTGAGTTATATTTTGTATCAATGTTTAAATATTTAATGCATCTGTTCAAAATACATCATTGTCATGGCCAATAAAAAATACAAGCTTTTGGAACACTGAACACATAACAGCTAATATGGCAAGATTCAAAATATATAAAAAGATGTTAAACAGATAAAAAGTAAATTACATAATAAAAGATGGTATGTAAATAAGTTAAACTACAAATTGACAAGATTCAGGACTTGTTCCTTAGCCATACAGTGCTTAACAACTGGAAATGCTCAATTACAGGAATATGCATCGGCACCTTAGAAAAATGAACTGTTTCTAAACAATGTTTTTGCAGCTGTAATTATTATTTACTCATAAGGGTTGTGGAATTATTGGCAACTTTATGTTCCTTTATCACAAAATCATCTCTCTAGATTTATAGTGTTTAGCTTGAAAACAATTGAATTTCTTCTGCCTTGTAACTCTGTCTACAAGCATGAAAGTCATTGAAGGATTGCCGGATTTATTTGTAAACTGACAAGTTTACCATCTCCTGTATGTTCTGAAAATTTAAAGGAAATAATGAGAAAACTATTTCTCTCTGGAAACAATTTGCTTCATTTTAAAATAACTGCTTGTGTTACTAGCTTTTTTATTTCACTTTGGCATTGCTTTAAAGTCTGTTCCTTATTTGAACACATGCATTATAGTGAGCTGAAATGCTGCATATTTATTGCTCAACTTAATTCAAGTCTCCCAGCTGTGCCATATTTAAACAGTGCATGTGGAAGAAAAATAAATGCTGCATTATTTTTATTGCTTTCCTCAGCAGAGCTTTCTAGAAAAAAAAAATGTCAGCAACTCTTCTTTTGCAGTGAATTATGATGGTACCAGGTCATAAAAGAAAACAAACTGAATAATAAGAAAAGGCATCCATCTTAAATCAACAGGACTGCTGAAACTACACATTTTTTTTGTAGAGTTATAAAGAAGGTCTCAAGCAATGGTGTGTGGGGGTATGGGGTGGAGGTTCAAACCAGCAATCCTCTTTAGCCAGAAGCCATACCAAAGCGTGATAGCCCAAGTTTTTGCTTTTTTGTCTTGCTCAAACTTAACTTATAAACAGGGATGCAATACTATACCATTACTATAGTATAGTAGGTAGAAACATTTATGCATTCATACATTTTTGTTGTAGTACAAGCCACATAAATCCTAATTAGGAATGAATGAAGTGCATCTCCCAAAACATTTTTTTTTGTTTTGGATAGAGTGCGGAAGGATTTGAACTGTCATCTGGCATTTATTGCTGTGTGTGCCCCCATTGGGGAGATTCACCCTATGTATGTGTCATCATAACCTAAAACATTTGAGGAAAATCCAAATTTTCAACTTGACACCGGAACAGTTTAGGGGAAATTTTACTTTGAGGGCACCTGATCTTGTTACAGCTGTGAAGGTAAATCTTTACAGTTTGTGCAGCACTTTAAAATACAAAGTAAGACAGTACAGTTATAATACAATTCCAGAAAAGGGGTTTAGGAGGGCCCTGCTCATTAGAGCTTACACTCTAAAAGGGAGGGGGAAGTGATGTAAAAAGTAATAACAATGTTGGGATGAGTTAATGGAGAAAGTAAAGCTTCAGTTGTTAGGTATAGGTGGTATGGACGTCCCTGAAAAGATGATTTTTCAGAGATCATCTAAAGGCAGAGTAGGAGATAGCCGAACAAATTAAGGTAGATATTCTCAAAGTATGGGGGATGCTCTGGAGGCAGTGATGAGGGAGCCAGAGAGCACAGCCTTGGTTGGAGTGAAGAGGATGCTTTGTGTTATATTTTAAAACGAGGTTGGTAATGTAGTTTGGACCAGAGTTGTGGAGGACTTTGTATGTTGTTGTTAGGATTTTGTATTTAATTTATTGGGCAATTGAAAGCCAGTGGAGGCATTGGCAGAGAGGGGTGGCGGACTCTGAGCAGCTGGTAAGGTGGATGAGGGTGGTAGCAACATTCATCATATACTGAATAGAGGATCGGCTTTGCAGAGCTGGGCCAACAATAATGAACTTGCAATATTCAAAGTAGGAGATAATGAGAGAGTGAATAAGGTGTTGGGGAGGGGCGAATGATGGAAATGTTACGGAGGTGCAGGTGGTAAGATTTGGTTTGGATTTGGGGCTTGACTGATAATTGTGATACTGATCTTGATGTAAAAGTTAGGGGAGGGGACACAGGGGAAGAGGAAATATAATTGGCTCGCTTTTAGAAAATTTTAATTTTAGGAAGTGGTGTAACATCCATACTGATATGTCAGGTAATAAAGCAGTGATGAATGGGGACAGTGAAGGGGTGAGGTGAGAGGTAGAGAGATAGATTTGGTGTCATCAGCATAGAAATGGTAATGGAAGCCAATGGAGGTTATCAAGTGACAAAGGAAGAAGGTGTAGATAGAGAACAGAAGGGGTTCTGAGGACAGACCCTTGGGGATCCCTGTTCAAAGAGGAATAGGAACAGAGGAGCTGCAGTTGTAGGTGACATAATGCATAGAAGACACAGACAGCAATAAGAAATGACAGTTCTGACAGTAAAAAATGTTAAATGCTGTCTCTGACCTCTGTATAGTAGTGGAGAAGTAAGGGAAATCTCCCTGACTGACAGGAACATAGAGAACCATAAGAGCTTGAAGAACTTTCTAAAATCCTCTCACCAAAGTGACACATCTCATTCTCAGCATATGGTTTCATGAATGTTAATTGATGGTTTTCTTTCCTTTTTTTATTGGCAGCTGTGTCACAAACTCTTTGAGGTTATGACCAAATTAGGAGAGCAGCATGCAGATAAAGCTTTTACTATTCAAGGAGCACCAAGGTGGGTAGTTTTAAAAATATGATTTTTATGATAATTTGAATTAAAATACTGTTAAGACACAGTATTGTGTATATATGCAATTTAGGTTCTCAATTAGGATTTAAATTGTCCAGGATAAATTAACTGGTCTGTGAACGGCCGGACGGAAGTCTGCTAGGAGCGGGAGGGCGTCTTAAGACGTCCGGCCCCTCCCCCCTCTCGTGTGCGGCACTCAGCGCACACACGAGAGGGGAAAATGTGAGCATGTAAACAGCCAGCGATGGCTGTTTACATACAAGCGATCAGGCGTCTCTAGAGACACCCGATCGCTTGCAGGAGCTGCGGGTGTGCGGCCTCCCCCCTCCTCCACCCCCCCGTACCTGTGTCCACCTGATGTCTCCATAAAGAGGACCTGTTTGGTGAACTGGCTATTACATAGGGGATTTCTTAATCCCCTATGTTATAGCAATAAAGTTGTGTAAAAAAAGTTTTAAAAAAAATTACAGCATTAAAAAAAATATTGAAGGTAAAATAAATATTCACAAATAATAATTAAAAAAAATAACACAAATTTTTTTTGTAAAGTGCCCCGCCCCAGCCACAAACACATGCAAACATGCGTTGGGTGCGCCTATGTACGAAAACGACGATTGCGCCCATTATGCAGCACATGTTACATATCGCCGCGAACGTCGGAGTGAGAGCAATAATTTTAGGGCCATCAATCACTGATAACACTAAACTGATGAGCGGTAAAAACGTTTAAAGTGTCGCCTATGGCCAATTTTGGTTGCGATCGTTTTCTGCGATTTTGCGGGCGCGCGCATTTTTAAAGGTTGACTTGTTTAGTGTCTATTTACGCAAAGTGACCCCGTCTTTTATATTATACCAAAAAATTGGGGTGAAAATAAATGTTTCATAACATTTTATAGGGAAACATGTTTTTTTTCAAAATTTAGGGTACTTTTTGTGTTATATAGTAAAAAATCACCAGTGGTGATTAAATACCACCAAAAGAAAGCTCTATGTGTCCCCAAAAAATGGTATGAAATTCGTATCAGTACAGCGTTGCATGACAGAATAAACGTCAGTCAAAGTACCGCAGCGCTGAATACTGAAAAATGGCCTGGCCAGGAAGGGGGTGAAACACCCCGGTCTTCAAGTGGTTAAGAAATAAAATCTACATTGCCGCAACAGTAAGATTCTTTAGCTGGAGTGCCTGGAAACATCACCTTATATAGCAAACAAAATCCTGGTAAATTCTACAGGACTAATTTCTTCTGTTTTTGATCTTATGTTACCTGCTGTAGTCAAAATCCTAGTAGAGACATATCCAACTACCCAATATTGATTTTATTGGTTTAGATTCTGAGACTAAAATATATATGACACTTTTATCAAATCATTACAAGATTTATGAGTAATGCAAAAATGACAGATGAGCATGAATGACAGAAAGTGAACCTCTGAGAAAACAATAAAAAAATATGAACAGTAAACAGATATTTTGGACTATTACTGCCACTGTTTTTGGGCTTGTTCAGAGTTACAGTGCCTCAAGGTACAGTAATAAAATGGAAACTCTTATAAACCTTGTTTGTGTGTGCAAATTATGGATATTGCCATTGGTAAATTCCATCTTTAGGAATGCTAGTTCCGTGGCTGTCATGATTTGTCTTCAAGCTGACCAAGAACAAGTGTAGAGGAAAAGTAATTGTTACTCTTTTCTAACAATTATTTGCAGCATGCTTGTTCTGGAGCACTATGAGACAAACAGAAAATGCCTCTCCGCAATACCTTTATTAAAAAAATAGCAAACAGTGGCACTCACAAATTGTTTTTATAGACTGGTCTTGTCATGTAAAAATGTGCAGAAAGTGATCTGCTGAACCTTCAATCCATGAATTCAATCCCCATAGCTGATGCTGTATATGTATTTATTTTAATAGCACCAACAATTTATGCAGCGCTTTACATACAGTAGTTGCTCATTCACATCACTTCCTGCCCTCAAGGAGCTTACAAGCTAAGGTCCCTATATTACATGCATATATTCAGGACTGATTTAGACAGAAACCAATTATTCTACCAGCATGTCTTTGGGGGGTGAGAGGAAACCCACACAAGCACAGGGAGAACATGCTAACTCCTTGCAAATAATGTGCTGACTAATGTGCTGCTAATGTGAGGATTTGAACTGGAGAACCTCAGTGCTGCAAGGCAGAACTGATAACCCTACACCACCGTGCCACCTGAGTGCAGCTGTATAGCTGATACATGACTGCATGAAGCCTCTTTTTCTATTGTGTGTTACTGCCGATGAGTCACAAATGGAAGACTCGCTAAATCAAAGCAGTTCTTAAGAAAAGGGTCCAGCTTGAGGGTTTACCCATAGATTTTCTTCTGGAATTGAGCATGTCTCTTCTTGGATTAATTTGGGGCAATAAACATATAAGTATCACATAGCTTAACATTTATAACTCTAGACTGTGTTAATATATCTATATATATAGATATATAGATATATATAGAGAGAGGTGTCTCCTAAAATAAAATCTGTACAAGATAAACCTAAGTAGCTTAGGAAATCCAGAAGCCTAAACCCTCCTGGGACAGCCCTAAACCACAAGGTGGTCAAGTTTGGTGTCCATCAGAAGCTAATATCATGACACACAATAATTTAGGGGTTATCACATAGTAATATGAAAGAATATTAAACTATGTTGATAGTGACTGAATTAACAGTTTGGGAGGGGCAGAGGAGAGGATCATAAAATGTTTAGCCCTCCTGCTCACCTTCTCTAATCTTTCCTAATTGGCTTATGGGCTGGATCAGTGACACCCCCCTAGTGGACTGTCAAAAAGCAGCTGTGCAGGGCAGTGACTGGCTCTCATTTAACATCAAGAGGAAGTGCTTATGTAACATCAACAGAAAGGCTCTCACGTGACCATCAAGAAGAAACTCAATCTCATCATGGACCAACCCTTTGCTTTACTATGAGAGACCCTAATCTAGATCCATCTCCTGGGCATTGAATCAGACTCTGCCAGAATCTACCAAAACCAGGACTTGTATTCCTTTTTATTTTACTGTTCTTGTATTTTTATCTCTGTTTCTTCTTTCTGTAAATTTTCCTGCGCTGTTTCTTTAATTAAAAAACAATCGAAAAAATCATTAAGCTTATCTCTGTGCTCTAAATAAAAACTTAGAGTATCCTTGCCTCCGTGAAGAGATTACTGTATAGTAACCCTGTCATATTCCTGTCTGAAAGGACAGTGGTATCACAGGCTGTGTTTAAGATTTTGAATTGTCAAAGCATTTGCTGAGAACGGTGAGTGTTTCCATTAAAACACATGATGGCAGCTACTCTTTTGTGAGTAAAGGGTTAACTGCAGAGTTAACCAACCCTGGTGACATTTGCTCTCAGTCTGCTGGCCTGAGATTGTTGTCCTGTGAGCTGGGAAATCTCTGTGCAGGGTGAGGCTGGGAGTGGTATCGCCACTTTTACAGTGACGACTCGGTCAGTTTGGAACTGCATATAGTCGTTTGGTATTGACGTACTTACTGTGGGTTCAGACAGGGCGCAGCCATCACATTTTTTAGCACCTAGAAAAAACAAGCACTTACCCTTGCAGTGCTGGGGTAGTCCCACCGAGAGGGTTAGGAACACTTTTACCTAAAGTTCTTCTTCAAAGTTTCTCTGCAGCAGTATTGTATCCTTTTCTCCACTTGAGCACTGATTGTGTGTATTCAGGTGCATGCTGGTTCTGGGTCTGTTTGTCTGTCAGATATAGCAAAGCAAATGGAATTTCTTCAGGAGGCAAGCAATGGCCTTGTGATAGTGTGGCTTTTTTTTAATTAAACTGAGTGGACTTTACCATGGATGCAGTGTCTATTGGATAGCATTAGCTATTCACTTATTGGTTTCACTTCTTGCCTGGAATTGCTGTTTAACACAAAATAATTTTGTTTTTTTAATGTTGCAACAGAAAACGATGGTGAGTGGATTGCCAGGCCTGGGTAAAAGCATTGTTTAGCTGTGCTTTTCAAGTATGATTGATTATCAAATTCTCAATCATGCAGTTTAATACATTAGTTTAGTAGTAGCTGGGACTTCAATGTGTTGATTTACTGAAGGCAAATAGGCTGTTTTGCAATGGAATTTCTTTAAAAGAGAACTATGAGGTAACCTTTTTTCCCCATAGTTCTCTTTAGGGTCACAGTAGCACATATACTAACATCCTCCCATTACCCAAAACTCACTATATATCGGGCTGTTGCCTGCTACATACTGAGTGTGCCACAGCCGGGATGGATCCCAACAATACTGTGGAGATCCACCCCGCTGGCTGATTGACAGCGGGATCTGCCTATCTAGAGACAGAGCCAGCTATGCCGCCCCCTACCCCATCCCTCCAGTCAGCACTGGAGGATTGGAGAGGGGAGATGGGAATCCCTATGGGGAGCGGTGACTGACAGTAGATGATCTGGAAGTGAGCAAGTGGCGGTATGTTTTCACTCACTTCCCGAGCAATAGGGCCGACATGTGACAGTTTCAATGTCATACATCAACTCTAACTATGGGGATGAGTGTAATTCACTTACTCCATACTTCTTCTTTAAGCTTAGTGAATGAGGTGAAATGTCCTTTTCCAAAGCATACCCAAGCATGTGTAAGGCAAAATAGAAAGATTGTATTTTGGCTTGCCCATGGTTGGATGATGGATATCAGCAGAGCTTTGACTCATTCTCGAATTCCCTAGCAAAGTAAGTATTCCCTTCAAAGTAAATAGCCTATTTGCCTTTAGTGAATCAAACTGAAAGTGTCAGTGTGCTATTTTTCCTAGGAAAAGAAATGTAGTTCTAAGTATGTTGTACAATCAATAGCCAGGGGACCCTCAGCAATGGGTTTTGCTTAATTTGGGAAGCAAATATAGTTGCTAGCCCCCAAGTTTTGCTGTCCTTTTCATTATGCTACTACAACATGCTTGCTAATAGAATGTATAATTTCTGGTGAACTGAACTAGTTAAAAGAATAACCTTTTTTACTGTAAAGTATTCATTTTAAGGGCTAATCTAAAAGCTGCTTTTGCAATACTAAACCATTTCAGTGTGAACAAAGTAAAATAGCAACCAGAAATGGTGCACTGGCATATCACAATTTAGCTAATACAGGTCTGACCAATCCTACTTTTTTACTTTCCTTTCATGTTTTAGTGATTCTGGACCCCTTCGCATTGCAAAGACTCCATCCCCACCTGAAGAGGTTTCACAGATCCCCAGTCCAGTAGCAAGTCCAAACCATACATTAGCACCTGTGTCATCTCCTGGACCAGCAAGGCCTAAATCTCCATCACAGGTATGTTAACTGAAAAACTGAAAACTGAAGTCACACACATATACAGTATGTGTGTGTATATATATATATATATA